ATCTAATATTATGCAGATGTCAAGTGCTTATTGACATTTAAGGCAATGTCTCACTGCTCCCCCTATCCTTCAGCAGTGGTTACTGGGGAGAGGGTCCAGAATCTCCAGGCTTTCCTTAGTAACTCAGAAGTGACCCTGAAAATGGCAGCAACACCCAATTATCATGACTATTAGTGTAACGAACTCTGCAGCGTATCAGAACATTCCCAGATTAATCGGTTTTGTGGTAGAAATGGTAGATAGATGGGTTAGATATGTTAGATGAGTGAGTCCCTTTATGGTGTTCCTGATTAGTATCCCCATCAGGGGAAGAGGGGCAGCTGGAGTTGGATTTTACGCCTGGATACACATGAATTGAGTGTGTCCTAGTTATTGAGTAAATGATTAAGATGCCGTTAAAGGAGTTCCAGGGAAGCAGCCAAGCTGGTTTGGTGGAATAAAACCAGCAATGATGTTGGGTCTTTCACGTTCTTTAGTTTCCTTAGCCCATCCCGCTTACTGCCCAATGTCTGAATACAACAACGACAAGGAATACCATATTCAGAATTAGGAAGGGTGTGCCAATGTTTTGTACACCCACATATGCATTGTGGGAAAAACATACCCCAGACATGATTTCAGACCTGCACTACCAATACATAGCCCCAACACACAAGATTTCGTCTCCTGCTAGAAAGATGGAAAACACGCCCACAGCTTCCTATGTAAATAATCTTCTCACTCTACTGGGCCTACAGAACACAGATAGAACCCGCTGGACCAGTGGAATATGTCTTAACCATTAAATAGAAGACATATTGTCTGCAGTCCAAAACCTATTCAGGCCCCATGTATCCGTTAAAATCCACAATGCATGAGAAGGACCTGAGAACATGCTTTAAAGTTCGAGGCAGCGGCGTACATACCGCGGTCACAGGGGTTGCAGCTGCGACCTGGCCCGGCACACCAGGGGGCCCGGTCGCCCTGCGGACCCCTGCAACCGGGTACCAGGCCTGCTGCCACATTTTGCAGGCGCGGCAAACTGCCGGGGCCGCATATGGAGGGGTCCATGGATGGACATGGATAGTTCGGGGGGACCCGGTCTGCGCTGGGCGCTTTAACAGCATGACCGGGCCCCCTGTGATTACATCAGAGCTGGAAGGAAGTGATTCCCCGGTCACTCCTCCCAGATATCAGCCACGAGAGAACATGGCAGAACGTTCATGCCACGTACACATCAAGTGATATTATATGTATATACACATTGTGACAGACCACCGTCACCGAGTACCATGCCTACTTATGCCCACTTGCTTGCCAGCACTGTTTCAGGTCCTCATGTCGGGGATCTCCCTATCTAAGAGGCAGTGGCGTACAAAGGGGGGGGCGGTCCGCCCCGGGTGCCACCAGGGTGGGGGGTGCCATGACCAGCCCCGCCGCCCCCCCCATGCTGCAGCCGCCCGAGCGCTCTGTAGAGAGCCTCAGGTGGCTGCAGCTTTGCCCGGGCGGTGCGTCCATGAGGGCGGACCGCACCGCCCGGGCGCAGCCTGAGAAAGGGGGCTGACAGGAGGGAAGCGCTCAGCGCTCCCTCCTGTCAGCTCCCTCTGTAGTAGCGTGGCCGAGCCCTGCAGCATGCTGGTCCGACGGGTACAGAGAGCAGCTGTCTCCTGTACCCGGCCAGACTAACAGGAAGTACACACTCAGTGTGCACTTCCTGTTAGTCAGCTCCGAGCGAAACAAACTCACAACCTCCCGCCGGACTACCATATCTCGGCAGCGCTACAAAGTGAGGGAGGTGAAAAAGAAGAGAAAAGAGAGTGAGAAAAGAAGGAAAAAGGGGTGAAAAGTAAGAGAGTGAAAGGAGAGTGAGAAAGAAAGAGAGGGGAGAAAAGAGGTAGAAAAGAAAAGAAGTGAAAGAAAAGAAAAGAAGAAAGGAGAGGTGAAAGGAGGAGGGTAAAGAGAGAAATTAGGAGAGTGAGAAAAGAGAGAGTAGGAGAGAGAAATTGAAATTAGGAGGGGGAAAGAGAAATTAGGGGGGGAGAGAAATTAGGAGGGGGTGAGAAAGAGAAATTGGGAGGAGGAGATGGAAATTGGAGCGGGAGGAGAGATTGACATTCATCACATACACACAATGCACCCCTTGCACACAGAAAAACACAATGCATTACACACAAAGACACACATACACAAGCAATGCAACCGTTACACACACAGAAACACACAATGCATTCATTACACACACTCAATGCACCCCTTACACACATTCAATGCATCCCATACATACACAGAAACACACCTTGCAGCCCTTACACATACAAACACAATTTCACACAATGGATCCCTTACACACATATCAGGACATCCCTTACACACTCCACCCCCTGTGAACAAATTCATTGGTGGAACATGAAGGTGGACCCTGGGACCCAGACCTTGAGCTGTGTAAAGGACCCCCAAAAAATGGAGCTGCTTCCCGTTCTCCCAGAACATTGATTTTTGTGACCACAGTTACAAACCGCCTCCAGAGAGCCTGTTCTGCACCAGACCAGTGGAGCCAGACTGCAGCTAGAGCCCAACATCATCCTCATCTGGTTGTAAGTAGGCAATCTAGTATATTATTCGTGGCACTAAGCTCTAATTTACCTCACATTAAAGAAACACTATAGTCCCCAGAACCACTTCAGCTTAATGTAGTGGTTCTGGTGTCTATAGCCTGTCCCTGCAGGCCTTTTAATGTAAACACGGCGGCACTGCAGCACTGGTGTTATTTAACATGGCATATCATATGGGTGGGGCATTGTGATGTCATATGGGGGAGGCGGCAAACTTTACTTTTGCCTAGGGCTGCAAAAATCCTTGCACCGGCCCTGGCTGGAGTGGGCTGTTTGAGCTGTGGCCGCACAGTGTCCCATGGTAGTTAGGGTGCCGTGCGGCCAGTACAGCTCACACAAGCAAACAGCTGATAAACTGGCCGCACAGAGGAAATGTGTATGTGTGACTGTCTGCCTGTGAGTGTGTGTGACTGTCTGCCTGTAACTGAGTGTGTGACTGTCTGTCTGTAACTGAGTGTGTGACTGTCTGCCTGTAAATGTGTGTGTGTGTGTGTGTGTAGGGCTGCAGGGATTTTGTAGAAGGGGGCGGGGGTTTTGTATTGGGACAGGAGTCTTTATAAGGGGGGATAAGCAGGGGATTTGTGGAAGGGGGTTGCGGGGGTTTTGTAGACGGGGCAGTACAGGATTTGTAGAAGGACAGCGGTTTTGCAAAGTTTACAAATTGTTAAAAAAAAAAAGAACGAAAACCTTTAACATTTTTTACAGGTTTTTTTTTGGGGGGGGGGAGGGGTAGGTGCCAAGCACAGGATCCGCCCCGGGTGCCAAATGCTCTAGGTACGCCCCTGCTAAGAGGCAATGTATTTGTTGTGGGGTACCCTTGTTCGCAAATCATGTTTGGGCTGGTTTGGAAGATTGTGCTTGTCCCATTCTGGATATGATATTGAAACAGAAGGGGTTGTTTGTTCCTGAAAGCTGATGAGCATTAACATGTCAAATGACTTCCTATCTAAGAGGGCACTTAGGTGTAACTTCTCACACCATACCGAATAGCTCTGTTGGAGTCCCGAGCTTCAAAGTGTAACTCTAGGTTGTAAGCTCTGTCCTATCATACAATCAATTAACCCCTTTTGTAATGTTAAAATGTGTGTGGAGGTTTGGAACTATTGTAGACTTTTCTGGACCTGAGAGGGGCCTTGATTATCTCTCAGGCACAGAGGATCATGGGAGGGATTACCCTCTGGACTTGAGAGGAAACTTGATTGGGATGGGCTTATGTTTTGGGTTACTTTGAATGGAGACCCCCTCCGGGGGTCTGTGCATAAAAGCTGTGTGTTCCAAATAAAGATTGTCAGAGTTTGTACCTCCAGAATTGTGTCTTGTATAGTTACTGGAGGAAAGGAAGATTTAACCCCTGTGTCTGCTGTTCCAGCTTGCAGGAGATGCAGCGGGGAAAGTTGTTGTAAGGACTAAGAGAGCTAGTTCCCCTATCCGTTTCAAGTTAGGAAGCAGCCCCTTTGGCGGAGGTACCCAGACGGGGTACAGGGAGCTCCGCTACACACGTGTACATATTTTATAAATATCATTTGATCGAGTAACTAGTTACATTAATCTATGTAAAGTCAAAATAAGATAGGCAAACTACAACATCGCCAATCCAACAATCATTTCAGCAATCCAACAATCATTTCAAACGAGTAGAACAAGGTATTTATATTCCATATCACTGAATAAGAGGTTATATTAAAGGACCACTATAGTGCCAGGAAAACATACTCGTTTTCCTGGCACTATAGTGCCCCAAGGGTGCCCCCACCCTCAGGGTCCCCCTCCCGCCCGGCTCTGGAAAGGGGAAAGGGGTTAAAACTTACCCTTTTCCAGCGCTGGGCGGGGAGCTCTCCTCCTTCTCTCCTCCTCCGATCCGCCCCGCCGGCTGAATGCGCATTCAGCCCGTCGCATAGGAAAGCATTTACAATGCTTTCCTATGGACGCTTGCGTGCTCTCACTGTGAAAATCACAGTGAGAAGCAATCACAGTGAGAAGCACGCAAGCGCCTCTAGCGGCTGTCAATGAGACAGCCACTAGAGGATTAGGGGGAAGGCTTAACCCATTGATAAACATAGAGGTTTCTCTGAAACTGCTATGTTTATAAAAAAATGGGTTAACCCTAGAAGGACCTGGCACCCAGACCACTTCATTAAGCTGAAGTGGTCTGGGTGCCTAGAGTGGTCCTTTAATGTTCTTACAGTGTTCATCAGATCGTTCAAATTGTGCCTAAAAAATAAAATTACAAATTTTTAAAAAAAAATCACCTGTATTCCTTCAGAATGTTGTAAAACTTACTCTGCTTACTAGAGAGAGTGCTCTTTCCACTGGTTTGCATTATATTTGGTTATATAATCTCAGGTCTTGCTATATGCCTTACGTGCTCAGGCAGATTTGCTGTAATGGGACAGGGTGTGCCGAAGGTCATGTGTGGGTTGGAGATTTGTGGTGGGCTGAGGGTACTTTTCATGTGTAGGAGGTGCCCACCCCCACAATCGTGGTGACTGCAGTCTTTAGGGTGTTATAATATAACTGTTATTACAACACTCTGAAGTAATTTCTAAACTGTCCCCACCATGTAGCAGGTACATACTCTGTGCCCAGTAATAGTCACCTGCTTCAGTTCCAGCATTTGTCCATGACTGTCTTGAGAAAAAACATGTGTCTGCAGTTGGCTTGCAAACTTTGCATGTTCAATTGACTGACTGTACTAATTCTTTCTCTCCTTGATAATCTCTGCAGAGCCAAGGTTAGACGTTGTTGGCAGGCATTTCCCTTCTATACCAGATGTTTATGGACAACATTTGCCATGATACTCTTCTAACCTGTAGGAGCGGTGGGGCGTTTCAAGAAAGCGTCCAACATTTAAAAAAATAATTTGTGGCAAGGCACAGGGCTAATTTAGCCACTCTTGTAAGGGAATCAAACAATTTATGTACCCTGGTATCACTGACTGCTGGCTCACACAATCAAGTATCTAACTCCATTCCCTCCCCACCAAGGTTTAATACTAGATTTTCAAACTTGTTGAATTTATATTCGTAGAAAAACAAACAAAACAAAAATAATCTGTTTGGTTCATTTATAGTTCACATGGTGCTTTGTCTCACTGGAAATCACTGGAACAAAATATAAATCGCAGGAATCTAATTTTAAATCCCAAACTTAAATCCGAGCGGAAATTTTTAAAAATGACAACCAGAGCAATTCACAAAGGAGAGTTTGTTCAAAATAGAACCAAGAGCTTTTCAAGAAGAAAGATCACACAATAAGATCGCAAGCTTTCTGTGTTAAAGAATTTGCAGGGTGTGGGGACAAAAATAGGCTTTCAACATTTAATCCTCAGCGAGAGGAGAATAAATATATTCTGAAAGCCACGTGAATATCTGGACTGAATAAAGAGCAGTTGTTTTTAACATCAGAGATTTCTAAACGAAAAACAGCTGGGATTTAAAAATTACAGTGAACACCCCCTCCTAACTAAAGTATTCATTCCACTCATTAAAATCCAAAGATGTTTGGCCAATTTTGTACATTTGGCCGACAGACCACAGGGACAAGCAAGTCTGGAGCAATAGATCGTTTGGAATTTTGTGTTATGACACTCGTGTGCTTGCATAGCTGAAGGCCCAGCACTATGAAAGCATCGTCCGTTTACCAGTGAAATACATCAATAATTAGTTAGGAAAAAATATTACCAAATGAACAATTTAGGAACAAACTTCTAGAACCTGAGAAATCACTAGGTACATCCCATGGTCGCAACTCCACCCTTAGGAGGTAACCTCAGAATTTTTCTTCAGAGAAATTTCCAATGTGTCAACTATGTTGTTGGCGCTTGTGTTGAGAAAAGTAATGCACAACACCTTATTTCAGCCTATATACACCTAAATATTTATAGGCACACCGGTTCCATACAACGTATTGGTGCATCCTGACACATTTTCACGGATCGACTTGTACAAAGCCAGATTCCGTCGTCCATTTGGACTGAGCGTTGAATCCTGAAAACCATGGCGTGATCTTGAAATACCAATACTAAATCACATTAGGGGTTCTGGATAGAATGCAGTTCTAGGGCAAAGTATTTCACATATAACAATCACCTGCTAGTTTCATTTGCTATGAGAGCTTTGCTCAGAATTGTGTGTTCTATATAACCATCATTATAGGAAACGTGTTTAAAAAACATGAAACAAGTGAAAAAATTACTTGTAAATAGTCAACACCTCGACTCCACAAAGATGTTTGAACATGGGCTAACCCAACATGTTAATCTTAAATAAAAACATGTGTATTTTTTAAATGACCACAACCACTTGCTGGAGTGAAGGTGATGAGCTGGATGTGGTCCAGAATTAAAAAAAATAAAAAATACATACTGCCTAATTCTCAAATGGGAGTGAGGTAGGAGAAAGGTTTTGGCAATGACAAATGCACCATTAGTGCTCTTAGCCGGTCACAAGGAAATTCTTTAGAACAACATTTAAAAAAACAAAACAAATTGGCATCTTTTCAAATGGAATTTCAAGTGAAGAAACAATTCAGAATGGAATGTAGTTCTGTTGATAGTTACCGAGGAATCCACAATTTGAATTCTTCTTGGAAGAATGGGCTCATTTTTTCAAATTTGACAAAGGCAGGGTCTCTGAACTAGGATCCACCAGGAGTGGCTTTGCTTAGAACCACTTAAGAATATCCACGTGTATCTGGAATTATAAAGTGGCCGTACAATGATAACACCAACTAAAAACTGTTGCATCAATGATGTTTTACAGCAAAGTAGAACCTCCATTCACACAGAGAGACAAGGGACGCTTTATAAAGGTTGCTCATAAATTCCCAAATACAAAGTTAGATCTCAAAGATTGTCCTTGCAGAGCAGAGTATCCTGAATATTTCAGAAAGGGCGTAATCTCCACGATCCGCATAGTTTTCCTGCCCACATCGAGCAGCTTGTGACCACACAGTCCATTCACATTATTCATTAATCTCTTTTTGTACTGGGGAACTTGAAAGTAGAAAAACATTTTTGTAAAAAGCAAGATTTTCACCCCCCCCCAGTGGTTGGATCGATGGGCAACGTATAACCGTGATCCAGAGAACGTTTCCTGAAACATATAATACACCAATGTCACTAGAATATACCACGGCACCAGGAGACATGTTCACCTTCACAGAAACAGTTTACTAGAAGGCGAGGAAATAGCAGAGAAAGTTGAATCGTTTGGAAATTAACCTGAAAAACAGGCCCATAAATACACAACCTAAACAAACAGTCTAAAAATAGTATGTTTGCAAAGAAACCAAGATAATTCTATGTAACGGCTGAAAAGGTTAAATGGATGCAAATCTTGCAGAAAACCAAAATAAAATACAACCTAAATAGTGTGGAAGAAAAGATGAAGGATGAGCAATGATTATGGCAGCATGGGTTTAGGTTGTGGGTCTATTCAAGCAAAGAAAGAAGTTCTCACAGAGGAAGACAATATCAGACTGTACGCAAATATTGTGGCCGGTTATTTCAAACGAGCAGATTGTGGTGTCAGAACCGGAGATATAATTAATCTTTTGGAATATTTGCCATTATTCACAGGATGTTGTCATCACTGTCTGAGGTTACCCACTCTGAAACCCCAAAGTGTTAATAGTGCCTGAATTTCACCAATTACAATTTTTTATGTCCATAGGAACCGACAGGGAGAGTAAAAGATCATAGCTTTTAATTTGCTGCTTCACAACCACTCATGGTCTCTCTCCTTGAGATGATATACAGCTCATCCTGGTCTCCAACTCCCTCTTTGGGAGGACACTACTCATCCTGATCTCTTATTCTTCCTGGCTGAACACACAGTTCCTCCTGGTCTCCCATTCTTCCTGGCTGAACACACAGCTCCTCCTGGTCTCCTATTCTTCCTGGTTGAACACACAGCTCCTCCTGGTCTCCGATTCTTCCTGGCTGAACACACAGCTCCTCCTGGTCTCCTATTCTTCCTGGTTGAACACACAGCTCCTCTTGGTCTCCTTTTCTTCCTGGCTGAACACACAGCTCCTCCTGGTCTCCTATTCTTCCTGGTCTCCTATTCTTCCTGGCTGAACACACAGCTCCTCCTGGTCTCCTATTCTTCCTGGTTGAACACACAGCTCCTCCTGGTCTCCTATTCTTCCTGGCTGAACACACAGCTCCTCCTGGTGTCCTATTCTTCCTGGCTGAACACACAGCTCCTCCTGGTCTCCTATTCTTCCTGGCTGAACACACAGCTCCTCCTGGTCTCCTATTCTTCCTGACTGAACACACAGCTCCTCCTGGTCTCCTATTCTTCCTGGCTGAACACACAGCTCCTCCTGGTCTCCTATTCTTCCTGGCTGAACACACAGCTCCTCCTGGTCTCCTATTCTTCCTGGCTGAACACACAGCTCCTCCTGGTCTCCTATTCTTCCTGGTCTCCTATTCTTCCTGGCTGAACACACAGCTCCTCCTGGTCTCCTATTCTTCCTGGTTGAACACACAGCTCCTCCTGGTCTCCTATTCTTCCTGGCTGAACACACAGCTCCTCCTGGTGTCCTATTCTTCCTGGCTGAACACACAGCTCCTCCTGGTGTCCTATTCTTCCTGGCTGAACACACAGCTCCTCCTGGTGAACACACAGCTCCTCCTGGTCTCCTATTCTTCCTGGCTGAACACACAGCTCCTCCTGGTCTCCTATTCTTCCTGGTCTCCTATTCTTCCTGGCTGAACACACAGCTCCTCCTGGTCTCCTATTCTTCCTGGTTGAACACACAGCTCCTCCTGGTCTCCTATTCTTCCTGGTTGAACACACAGCTCCTCCTGGTCTACTATTCTTCCTGGCTGAACACACAGCTCCTCCTGGTCTCCTATTCTTTCTGGCTGAACACACAGCTCCTCCTGGTTTCTTCATATCATTGAGAGGATACAAAGCTCCTCCTGGTCTCTCACTTTACCCAGCTGGACACAAAGCTCTCTCACTGCTCAGACTCTCACTATCCTTGGCTAGATAAAAAGATCCTTCATTTGGAAGCTCCATGCTGCCTGTTGATTTGTGGTTTTGCCACAAGGACCGATCATATAACAACTTAGAGTGGTATGCAAGAAGATGGCTTTGAGAAAAGAAGTGAATGTTTAAAACCTGCAAAGAAAGTCCAGTACAAACCAACAAAAAAACGATGTGTTTTATATAAGCAAATATATTCCACAGATCTCATTTCTATCTGTATAGCACACAGCTGTTGACATGACTTTGCGGGGAGGGATATAGAGATGGGCCTGGCTGTCAGCAGCCCAGAACCAATGCTAAAACCCACGGTACCAGCACAGAATATACAGAGGAGTCTCGGGTCTATCACCGAAGAATAGTTACAGGTTTCTGAAATCAGATACAAAACAGCTTCTCAGAATTGGAAGTAAACGCCTCGGCTGTCAGCACCTCTTAATCTGCAAATAAACAGAAAAGTCACACAGCAGTCACTGGCAGAGGGTGAGATAAACAGTCTTCAGATTGATTGCAGAAAATGTGTTATATGGATGTGCACAGTCTGATTTACTTTATAGTTCAATAACATAAAAATATATAGTGTTAAAAATCTAAACCCAAAACATATTAATGAGATTCTGATAGTTACAGCAGACTTCAGCTGGAAATCACCAAATATTCCTCAAATGCTTCAGTACCGGGTTAAACCACTTACAACAACATATCACTTGCCTTACTGGGGGCATCCATACTGACACAATCTGTATGATGGAAGGACAATGCGCCAACTGACAGAAACAGATCTGCCACGGTGTGTCTGTTAGTATGTGTGTGTGTGTTAGTAAGTGTGTTACTATGTGCGTCTGTTAGTGACTATGTATGTGTTAGTGTGTGTGCCTGTTGCGTGTGCGTGTGCGTGTCTGTTAGTGTGTTAATGTGTGTACCTGTTGTGTGTGCGTGTCTGTTGGTGAGTGTGTGTGTATGTGTCTGTTGGTGAGTGTGTGTGTATGTGTCTGTTGGTGAGTGTATGTGTGTCTGTCAGTGAAAGTGTTTGTCTGACACTGAGTGTATATGTGTCTGTCAGTGAGTGTGTATGTGTATTTAGAAGATGGGGTGGGGGTGCCTGAGTTGTCATGCCTAGGGCAGCACAAAACCAGGATACACCACTGCTGCCACCACTGACAGCAAGGTGTGAGGAAAGTTATTTGGGCTTAGAACAGGGTGGGATTTATTTAATTATTATTACAGGGAAAAGAGACAGGGCAGCGTTCAAGGGATTCTATAGTGTTAGGAATAAAAATCTAACACTATTGATCTATTGTACGAAAGAATAGAGAGGAAGTGAACCACTCTCCTCTCGACCAGAGAGTGAGGCCACCTCCTCTGAGGGCCATAAATCAGGAGACCTAGCCATCTATGCAAGGCGAGAAGGTCAATGTAAAAATCAGTAAAATTTTTTACTAAAGTATTATTAAGGTCAGGGAGGTGTGATAAATTATTTTAGTAAGCAAATTTTCTTCATCTTAAAAACAAAAAACACCCTTAAATATGCCTCTCTAATATATATACACATTAGATACTAAACAGTGGGGCTTGCTGTATTTCAGATTGTACCCCATTAGTATTATCAGAAGTATTCACTCCAGCGAGAACTGAAGGCATGCAAAGGGAATTTTTAAATTTGAGGCTAAAATAATAAAAAAAAGTCAGCAATGCTTCCAATTTGGTTACTTCCTGACAATCTAATCTAAACCAATATCGAAAACAGCTCGTAAAAGCTGCAGATCTCAAAACCAGGAAGTAACAGGACCGATGTCTGACAGCCAGGGGGGTGTAACAAGGTTAATTTTTTAAGTGACAATTTCTATTAAAATCTGCACTTTTTGTATAATAAAAATAAAGCGGACATAGTTTTCCCCTATAAAGCATTTCAGACGAGCTCAACTGCTTTAAGGGTTTGGAGTGTCCCTTTAATGTTTCATTATAAGAACACACTAGCCCCATCTAGTGTAATAATTCCATTCTGCAATTCGAAATTTGCAAGGGATGAAAAAGCATAAGTTTTTACTTACCATAAATTTATTTTTCCTGAAGATTAGAGGCAGTGCTTTACAACGAAAAAAAAAATAAAAAAAATAATGATGATAGATGGTAGATTGGAAATAAAAGAAAGGACCCAACTTTAACACCACTTTGTCCTGATGAAAAAAATGGAAAAAACTGAAGAGCTTGAAGTTCTCCCAAGAACATTTTTGGCCGAGGTAATTGCCCCAAAAACCTTGAGCGAAGACTCAAGATCAGCAGAGCTGAATAAAACAAGAATAAGACCCTATGGAGGAAAAGTTTCCCTGATGGTAGGAACCAAACGAGACAAAGCCTTGAAAAATGGACCTTGAGGAAAGCTGGTTTCAATTCTTTTGCAAAGCCCATCAGAAGGTGTGAAGGACTTTTATGTATTTGTCTGTGTGCTTTCAGCTTAACCGTCTCCCTGCTGCTTTAATGTCTGTATTTGTTCGGTTCAAAATGTTGAGAATAAATGTATTCGTTTACCGAAAGAGGACCACACACCCTGGGTAGCAATTAGCATTAGAACGCAGAGAAACCGCGATTTAATTGCTACTAGGTAGCCGCCATTCGAACACGTGGCGAGAACAAAGGATGGTGGCCATCTTAAAACTCACGAATGCGGTCAGCAAGGCTTACGCATGAATTACATGGAACTAATTTCGGTACGGGAAACATGCGAACGCCCGGTCACCACGGAAGTCCTGGATGAATACGTTCCCCTACACGAATCCAACTGGCGTTCGGTAGATAGAATCTACCGAATGAGGGGAACATTCACAGGTAACCAGCTGCACCATACGAACGGTGGTTTTCGTGCAGTTAGATGCGAACGGAGACTGGCTCTTGCTACTGATTCTCTGGAACTCAAAATCGGATACCACCACATGGCGAGCCGGTCAAACTTCCACACGATGCGACACGGAAACTACCGAACGGAAATTCGTGAGATTTGGATATATGACTACCAGTATCCTCAGCTACCCAGGGATGTTGAAATTATGTGTGTATGTGGCATAAAAAGTACTTTTCTAAAATTGTTAAAAACTGTAATATTTTTGACCATCAGATAATTGAGCTTTGTGTATCGTAGAAACTCAATTATCTAGCCTGGCCCAGAGGAGGAGTTTTGTGTTGTATAAATTGTGAGTTCTGTGTGCCAGTAAATCAGTCTTGTTCCAGCATTAAGTTTTGGCTCATGTGTGGATTATTCGGCGATTCCAGGGATATTTCTGCTTATGGAATATTGAGTGCTTTTCTTTTATGGGAAGAAGGGAATGCTTGACGGGGATATCTTATACTACCGTCACAACTGGTTGGCAGCGGCAGGATTTTCCCTTCTACTTTCCTTTACACCAGGATTCCAAGCAGACACTGGGAACAGTGAATGGAAGGCTGGTACACCCTGCTTAAGAGAAATACACTGAAAGAACTACTGGAAGCTCGTGGAAGGATTGCTAGCAACAAAACCAAGCGGGTCATCATAGCAGAATTAATGGAGCTAGACCAGGAGAACTTGGTTGCAGCAATGCCAGCAGTACAAGAGATGGAGACACCAGTGATTCAGGAGGAGGAATCACCAGCCAACAAAGTAATGAGAGAAAAGCTAGCATGGTTCGGTCCGAACCCAACGGCTGATGTTGTGCTGAAAGTAATGAACCTGTTAGCGGAGGAGGCTAAACAAATAAGAGACGCAGAGCTGCAGTTAAAACTGGCAGCAGTCCAACAGGCAACCGCACATTCTCCAAACAGTGAGTACAGCACAACGGACACAAGGAAAATTCCGTTTAGCGCTTTTAAAGCTTTTGATGAAAAAGACCATGAAATTGATAACTACCTGGCAGATTTTGAGCGACAATGTAACCTGCACCGAATAGCTAGGGGAGAATGGGTTTCAATATCGTCAGGCAAAGCTTCTGATGCTTTCCAGACCGTGCCAGAACAGGAAATCCATAGCTACACCAGGGTTAAAGAAGTGCTCCTGGCTTGTTATGCAGTAACCACAGAGTCCTACCGACAGAAGTTCAGGGACTCAAGCAAAACCACGAAAGACTCTTACGTGGAATGGGCATGCCAGTTATCCCTGTCGGCCTCTAACTGGGTTAACAGCAGCCAGGCCACCACCGCAGAGGACATTCTGCAACTAATGCTCCTGGAGCAATTTTACAATCACATCCAGACGGATATCAAAGACTGGGTGAGAGATCGCAGGCCCATGTCTCTACCAGAGGCCGCTAAGTTGGCGGATGAGTATGCAGATACTCGCAAGACGAACCAGGTCACACCACAGGTACAACCTCCACGACCAACGGTGCCATCACACCCACCAGCAGCTAGATACCAACCCCCTAACAGACCGGTGACATCTAACCCTCGCTATCCACGTCAGGAGGACAATGAACAACGCTGCTTCCGGTGCAAACAGCTGGGTCATTTCAAGCAGAATTGCCCCATGGACAACAACACTAGGTCAAATTGGTCTCGATCTGGGTACCGCCCACCAGCAGCAGCCCATTGTGTAGACTCGACTTGGGATCCCCAGGAACTGGGTCAAGAAGAACCATTGGCACCCTTTACGAAGCCCTCATGGTGCAATCCATCATCACGGACAAGGGGAAACACCATTGTCAGCTGGTCATGGTTAACGGCAAGACAGCACGGGGATTAAGGGACAGTGGTGCGACCATCACGCTAGTACAAAGACATCTTATTAACGCATCGGAGAAACCGGGGAAATCAATTGCTGTGAGAGTGGCAGGGGGGGCAGTATACCGTATTCCTACCGCGCAGATACACCTGGACTGGGGTGCGGGAACTGGCAATGTTCATGTGGGCGTCTTGAAAGACTTACCTTCTGAAGTCATATTGGGCAACGACATTGGCCCCCTGACTTCGGCGTTCGCCTCTACCACCGCTCAGGAGGCCCAGGCAGTAACCACCAGAGCATAAAGTCGCGCTGCCGAGAGCCATCCGCTTCCTACTGAGACCCAGGTAAGCCAACCCAACCTACCCTTGACTGTAGAACCCCTACCCTGGGACACCCTAGAGGACTTTGGGAGACCACCCAAAGGCTAAACTAGTTTCCATGCCCATTATTGAAGAACCGTTCATGAGGGTGACCGGAGACCCTTCCCTCAGAAGGTATCGAGAGAAAGCCAGGAGGGACAAAGGGGGGTTAGAGCAGGAGCAATTTATCTGGGAGAAAGGCCGCTTGTACAGGCTCACCGAGACACGGGTTAATGCACCTGGGCCTAAGCAAAAACGCCAGCTGGTAGTTCCCCGGAAGTACCGGCGGGAATTATTGAGGATTGGGCACGACGTACCCTTGGCAGGCCACTTGGAAATACACAAGACGGGGTATCTGGTAACCCAGAACTTTTTCTGGCCTGGGGTATACGACGACGTCCGGGCGTATTGTCAAACGTGCGAGGTATGCCAACGTATAGGTAAAAAGGGAGACCACCCAAAGGCTAAACTAGTTTCCATGCCCATTATTGAAGAACCGTTCATGAGGGTAGCCGTGGACATTATAGGGCCCCTGGCCCAACCTAGCCGTTCTGGCAAACGTTATATACTCACCGTAGTAGATTACGCCACCAGTTACCCCGAAGCGGTGGCCCTTTCTAACATAGAGGCTGAGACAGTGGCAGAGGCCCTAGTTAAAATATTTTCCCGAGTAGGCTTTCCCAAGGAGGTTCTGTCCGACCAAGGTACACAGTTCACGGCCGAGGTAACCCAGCAGATATGGAAAGCCTGTGGAGTTAAATCCCTGACTAGCTCCCCATATCACCCCCAGACTAACGGCCTGTGCGAACGCTTCAACGGGACTCTAAAGCAAATGTTGAAGTTGTTCACGGGGACGTACAAGGATTGGGAGCGATTCCTGCAACACCTTCTCTTTGCCTACCGAGAGGTGCCGCAGGAATCGACCGGATTCTCACCTCCTTTTCTATGGGAGGCGGGTGAGGGTGCCTTTAGATCTCATCAAGGATCACTGGGAGGGGCAGACAGAAATTGAGGGGACCCCAGTTGTACCTTATGTCCTGGAACTGTGGGACGGCATGGAGGAATTAGCCCAGACAGTGCGAGAGAACCTCCAGGCGGCCCAACAGCACCAGAAGGTATGGTACGACCGACGGGCTAGGCACCGGAGCTTTCAGATAGGCCAAAAAGTCATGGTGTT